CAGCTTGGACTTGTACTGTTCCTTCTGTTTCAGCCTCCCCAGTGCTGGGATTACAGGCATGTGCCACTAAGCCCAGTCTCAGTGTGCCAGGGGGAGGGCCAGACTGAACTTGGTCCCCGTGCTTGCTTAAGCAGGTACTTAGTGTGCTGAGCTACCTCACTGGCCCCATCACTTGCTATTTTAATGTACTAACAATTTCACATTTTTTAGGTTAAAAATTAAAATCTGTAATGTTTGCTATGCCTATGAAAAAGCTGTCTCAGGTCATGCAGGCTGTTCATTTTGGGGGGCTTTGCATATACATTTCTGTCTGCATGAAAGGCAGCTTTCTTCACCTTCCTCTGTCTAGTTACATTCCACTTAAGCTTTCAGATCCCAGCCTAAATGTCAGTACTCATAGGAATCTTTCCTGACTTTGTAGGCTAAACTGAGCTCCTTTATTCTATACTGCTGTAATTCCTCAAAGCTTGTCTTCAGCACAGTTGATATTAACTCTAATAAACTTTTAGGGTAGAGGTTTTGTTTCTCTGTCTCATCACTACACACCCAGGCCCACGGGAGGTGTTCAAAGAGTGTATAATGCGAGCATGAATGAATACAGCTGAGCTGTCCATGCTGCCTTAGGTGAATTTTCTCAACACTTCATGTGCTTGAGACATAAGCGAAAGCAAAAAAGGCTGGTCCTTTACTTTAGTTCATGCTAACTGAAATTGATAGATAAAGATAAATATTAAGTATGTAGATTTTATAATAACAGGCTCAGGTTCAAAACCTGACTCTACCATTGACTAGTTGAATTGTTATAGGAAAATTATTTAAAATTTCTCTCTGTTACAGCTTCATTATCAGTAAAATAGATCAAATCCGGGTTTGAAACCCTGATCTAGTAATTATTAATTGTGTAATTTGGCTTAAGTTAATAATCTCTGTAAGTGCTAAGCTCCATCAGTATAAAAAGAGGCTAATAATATCTGTCCATTTCTCATGACTATTAGGATTAAATGAATAGGTAAATGTATATACAATGTAATATATTTGCTTATTAGCATAAAGAAATGCATAATTTATGCAGTAAAACAGTAAAATCAAACTGAAATAATATCATGAAATTATGTTCTTTTAGAATGACAGTGATTAAAGCATTGGCTAATACATGCTGTCGGTAACAGTGTAGAGGGAGTCATTCAAATACACTGTGAACCCACAGAGTGGGAAAAATTCTTAGCCAGTTGTTCTTAAGGCAAAGGATGAATATATAGAACATATGAAGAATTGGAAAAAAATCAGACACACAAATTTAAAGTCCTACCCCAAAAATGAGCATATGAAATGGCACTTTTTGAAAGAAGTACAAAAAGCAAATCAGTACAAGAAAAAAGTTTGATATCACTGATTGTTCAAGAGTTGCAAACTGAAACCATGCTGAGATTTCATATCACTGCAGAAAGAATGGCTACCATCATGAAATCAACCAATATCAAATGTTGGTGATCTATGAGGAAAAAGGAACCCTTCTCCACTGTTGGTGGGAGTGTAGACTGGTGCAACCAGTGTGGAAATCAATGTGAAGATTCCTAAAAAAGAAAAAAAAAGCCACCTAGGAGTAGAGGTCCCATTTGACCCAGACATTCCCTTTCTTTTCGTAAAAGAATTAAAAGTGTCATACAACCATGATATATGCACACTATGTATATAGCAGTGCAGGTTGTAATAGCTAAATCTTGGAAGCAACTCAATGACCATCAACTGACAAATGGGCAAAAACGATATGTTGTTTTTAATACAGTGAAATACAACTCTGCCATACAGATTCATGAATTTAAGACATTTATAGCTAACTGGATGGACCTTGAGACCATACTCTTAAGTGAAATAAATTAGACACATGTGATAAATAGCACATTATCTCTCAGAGGAGAGAAATTGAAAGTGTGAATAAGAACTAAAATACATAACAGACATTGTAAAATAAGATGAAATTATTCAAAAGGCAAGGGGATCTGGGGAGAGATGGAAGGGAAAACAAAGAAATGAAAACAAAGCTTTTGTAAATAAAGAGGGGAAGGGGAGCTGAACAGGAGCTCCCTCAGCTGAAGGGGAAGGGAATGGGAGAAAATGAACTAAGATACATCCTGTCAAGGTACAGATTCCCTGTGCTGAATGTGATCTCTATGTACATCTAAATTATGCCAATAAACTAAACAATAGAAAAACACTGCTGGGTTACACTGTTGGTTTGCAAAATGGTAAAATGAATCTTTGACTCTATCAAAATTCAAAGCACACATACAATTCGACCTAGAAATTCCTCCTGTGCGACTTCACCTTGTGGACATACGACACGTATGTACAAAAGTGTGTGCACAATGATGGCAGGATAGCCATGCGATGCCAAAGTGCCAGAAACAGTGGGAACGTTGACCAGTAGGGCCAGTTAGAAAAGCAAAGGAACTGAGAAAAGTGAAGTAGTATACTGTCATTAAAATTTACGGATGTGGGGAAATAGCTCTCAGATACATTATTTGATAGAGGAATGTAGGAAGCAATGTAAACTGTCTTAAACGTCACTACCCATTTCCTCCAGCCTAGTTAGTTGCTCTCCCTTTTCAAGCAGTTTTCTCCTATTTCACAGTACCTAGTGCAAATTTTGGAGCTTATTTACTTCCTAAGTTTCTCACCCTAGGAGGAAGATATGATATTTACACATGTGGGTCTAACTTACATCACTTTTGAGTGTGGTCTCAAGTTGCATCCATTTAGCTATAAAAGCCTCAAGTTTAGTCTTCTTTATAGCTGAGTAATACCTCATGGTATAAAAATATCACTTCTTTTTAATCCATTCCTCCATTGATGGACATTCAGGTTATTTCCAAGATTTAGCTGTTTTGTGCTGCTATAAGCATAGGCGCACATATATCACTGTGGTATGTTGTTTTTAATTCTTCTGGGAAAATGCACAGAAAGGAAATTGCTGGGCTGAATGGGTCCTCTAATCCTAGCTTTTTGGTAGCTAAGATAATTATACTACTAATTTATATCAGTTCACTTTAAAAGAAAAGGTTTTTGTTTATATTGTTTAATTAATTTTTCATGCCTGTATCTTGTAATCGGAGCAAATACTTTGAAGATAACAATACACAATGTATTGATCATTGTTTATCTCCTATCATCTTGTTTTGAAATTCTATATCACTGTTTTCATTGTATTTTCTCTTTAAAATAAATTAAATTAAAAAAATCACTATCCATACACGCATGCATCCAATTGTCTGCATAAGGAGAGCTCTAGCTGCCTCTTGGGAGAGGAAAGGGGGAGATTTACTTTTCATTGTCTTCATTGTATATATTGTTTGTGTTTTTAAAATTTTTTATTTTTCAAGCTAGCTGTATGCTTTTCTCAAATCAATGTTAATTTTAAAACACAAAGAATAGAAATTAAAATTTCCTATCATTGCTGCCATGGTTGCTGTCTCCTGTGATTACTAGATACTACTATTTTTTCGTCCAATATAAAACATGTAAGATGGTAGGGGGAAGGAGTGGTCACTGAGGGGTGAATGAAAAAGAATGTGAAAGCGCGCCACCCGCAGGGGCCAGGAGGAAGGGGGGCCCAGGAGCTGGGGTCTGGCAGAGGCTGACCCAACCACTGAGTGAGGCGTTTGCGCACCTTGAAAGGTAAACCAAGCCTTACAAGAAAAGTCACTTAGCGTGAATCCTTGTTATTACCTCAAATATGGTACTATCCCAATTTAATAAATAAGGAGCTGCATGGCGTTTCAGGCATGAAGAGTCTCATTCCCCAGCTCTCAGCCGTCTGTTAGTTACATCGTCACCAGGCAGTGTCTAAGGATTGCGATGCTGCTTCCGATTTGCTGATAGGCTCCTGGTAACCTTGCTCCCATAAACACTTTTACGAGAAGTGCAGTTTCGCTTTGTGCCAGTGATTGCATTTGAAGCTGTGCCGGGTGATTTCTAGAAGCTTCTTTATTCAGCTTGTGGTTATCCCAATTTGACTGTTTTCCCTGTAGAAGAGACTGCTGGGGGAGCCCAGATGTGTGAGTCTCCACGTGGTCTCCTCCAGCCATTAATGCTTTGATTTAGAAAGGACAGCTCAGGGAAGAAACCTAAGTGCAGTCCTCTGGCCTGAGATCTATAAGAACAATAACAAGATTTTATCTTAAGGACGACTCTTAATTTGCAGGTTAGTATAATCAGAAAATTACCTAGAGCTGTTAGGTCTGTGTTTCAAGTGGAGATTATTTTGGGCAGTTCCTTTGATACAGGAAGAGAAGGGTACAGTCCATATTTAGCAAAATGCTCCAGTTGCAGGTATTACGCAATTTTGAAAATTTCTGAGAGAGCTAACTCCTCCTACCAATTTTCCACCTCCATTCTAGAATCTGCTGAAATCTGGGATCTCTGGAAAGGGCTTAGGTAGTGATGAATTCATCTGTCTGACTAGGGACAATCAGCACATAGCTATTTTTGTTTTAAAATTATATTTTTATAAGGATATTTAAAAACTTGAGATATTTTTCCATCGTTCTACTGCCACATAATGGTTAATTTTAGGAGCTCTGTGAGTTTGATTTTTATTTAAGATTTTTACAATCTATATATAGGTTGGTCTTTAATAACCATTTATACATTACTTCTTTTTATATAGGTCATGTATTCTCCTGGGAGAGTAACAAGATTAGAAATAACAAATACAGTGCAGAATAAATTAAAATGCTTCAAACTGCATTATATAATTTCAGAAAATTGGTTTCACACTGAAACATTTAAATAAGAAAACCAAGTGATTTAAGTTCAAAAAATCCTAACGTATGTGTTTGAGTCACCATTGTTTAGCGAGTTTTATCCTCCATGGTATGCTACTAGTATCAACCCATGATGCTCCAGTGCTGTGACAGTTCATTTGTGTCAATGTGGATACAGTTATTACTATTATTATTATTATTAACTTCTGGTTATTTAAAAAAGTTAGTTTCATTTTCAGTGAAGATGTAGTGTTTATTAGTAAAAATGTCAAAGAAGTATCATAAAAATAATTGTATTTTAATATGTAATTCTCCAAGCTCCTGTATACAAAACATTCTTATTCCTGTTGCACAATGAACTCAGCCTGTTAGGGTACAGAAGATGGCAAAATTGGGCCTAATACTTTTCTAAATGCTTAGGACAATAAGAAGCGAGGGCTGCTTTTCCTCTCACAGTGAAATAAAGAAGATACAGAGCTCCAGAGAATCTATTATTCCAGCTAGTTTTGTTTGTTTCTGTGAAGTTTAGCGCCGCTCTCCACATACTGAGTCCTCAGGCCTTTTTCAGTTTTTCTATCCGTGCATTAAAGACCTCTTCCTGGATTTGCAGCTTTTCGTTTATCTCAGTCTGTGAAGACAATCATAAAAAAATGGTTATGACGGAGCTATCTTTTGCTGCACATTGTCTTTGTGGTTTTGACATACTATAGTGCCTAAAGACAGACATTATCCCTCACACACCTTCCTGTTTTGCAGACAGAGCCGTGTTTAAGCCTGTAGTGATGTGATAACACTTTATCATATTTCTCTGCACAGTCCCAATGTATAGCATGTTTGCTATGAACAGGAAGTGGTATTTGGACAGCCATTTTTCACATAGTCGTGTGTTGGAAGATAGGATAATTTATCTGTATTTTCAGACAGACTTTACCAATAAGCGCCGCGTCAGAATAACTGCTTTGGGCTTGGCTGCTGCAGTGTTGCTAGTGCCCCAGCCCTCTGCAATGGATGGTTTTGTCTTCTGCGTAATGCATTCTAAAGAGGATCTCAGAAAGCGTCTGTTGTGAACTAAGAACACAAATAATCGTCCAATTAGAACAATTCTTATAATTGAGAGTATTCATCATGCATTATGACTCTGGGAATGATGCCACTTTGTGGTATGTTTTGGTCGAATAAAAGTAAGCAACTGTCGACAGGTTCTGGTGGTTGCTGAAGCCCCTGGTTCACGGACCAACATCGCTACCTGCACAATTGTAGACATGCTTACACATTATCTGAACATTAGTCGCTGGAAATGTCTGCCTTTTATCACAGTAGGTAATAAAGCTACGTGCAGAGAAACGTTTGTTGGCTGCTGTAGCAAAAAAAAAAAAGATGTTATTGTTATTATATTTGGGATGATTTAAAAATGCCTATGAGGCAATGAAGAGCAGTTTATCCACAAAGGGATTAATGAATCCTAAGTTGAGAATATGCATAGGTACAACCTACCTTTAGGTCTCTGAAGTAGTTGCATTGTGAGAAAATGTAGTATTTAATTTAGATACAGGAAATGTGAGACGTGAATGTAATTTTAGGTCCACATTCTTTCCTTCCTTCTTGCCTGCCTGCCTGCCTGCCTGCCTGCCTGCCTGCCTTCCTTCCTTCCTTCCTTCCTTCCTTCCTTCCTTCCTTCCTTCCTTCCTTCCTTCCTTCCTTCTTTCCTTCAAGAGCAACTATAATAGTTTGGAAATTTCTGCCCACCCTAATTATCTTATCTGATGAGATTTTGTTCTACCAGCAAAACAAGGATTGATATTTTTTTTTATGTATTTGGTAAAGGTCTCACTGTGCAGTTTGGACTGCTAGTGATCCTCCTGTATCCAGCCTGCCCAGTGCTGGGATTACAGGTATGCACCACCACACCCAGACTGCATGGCCTGCTCAGTGTGCCCCAGGGCATGGCCGGCACAGCCTGTGATGCCTATGAGGACTGATATTTCTGACAAGATCATATGAGTGTCAGCAATTCTGCATTCAGAATGCATGTAAATACCAAGGTTTTATTTATTAGTGTGTTTTTGGTTTAATATTTTTTAATGCCCTGGGACCAATTTTTGGCTTTTTATTTTATTCCTATATTTTTCTTTCTTGGTAAAGAAAGGAAAAGGTTATTGGATAACAGATGGAAGGAAGGATAAAATGGTCTTCCAACTTACAAAAGAACTTTGTTTTGAGGGTGAAACGCTCCCTCTTGGTAGGTTTTGGTACAGTTAAAAGGAGCACCATTCTGGGAATAGATGGAAGAACTGCAGCCTTGTAACATTGGGCAAGCCACCCAGTGATGCTCACCTAAAAATGAAGTAGGAGATGAGGATTGTACAGTCTTATATCTTAGCTTTAAAGTCATAATATACTTCAAGAATTACATATTTCATTGATCTGTTGGACAAGATGTGTTGAAATGGGTTGCAGAAAAAATCTTACCATGTTTCCAAAGGATTGGAAGAACGGCTCTGCCCAGACAATTGTCACACTTTCATTACTGTTCTGTGTCCACCATGATCTCCCTGCATTTCAGCTGAGGACTGGAGGAACATCACCTCCAGCTTCTACTTCACCACCTCACAGGGGATTTCATAGTGATCTGGAGACCCTTCTGCTATGTCACCAAACCAGAATTTGTTGAAACAAGTGTGGACTTGGGAAAAGTTTCCTGAATGCGAGGTGCACGCTAGTACAGTGCTGTGTTTAGAAGAGAATAACCTCGCAGCTCTCCAGACCTTGGAGATCAGCGCGTCAGTCTGTTCAGGCACAACCAAGAGAGCCTAGATCGAAAGACTTCGTGACTGGGCAAGAAGAAGCTGTCCTGGGTCTTCCTGTGTCTGCTTAAGCCCTGCCAGTCAGGAAGGCTCTTGTATCCCAGCTGGAGCTGGCTCTGCTTCCTTTAGGAGAGAATGTGAAACTGGTAGCCTAGGTGCAGGACCTTTTCCTTGGCCGCTAACCTGAGATGATCTCCTTCAACTTTTCTAGCCTTTAAAATTCAAAGTTCACCTAGAGATCTCTGCGACGGCAAACTTTTCTCAAAGTTTCCACGTTGTTCTTACTCCCCCAGCCAATATTTAATGCAAGAATTTAGCGTTAGTGTTCATATTTCTCTGAAATGTAATTCTTTAACTATATTAAATTTTGCTCCATTGGGTGTAATTTTTATTATGCAACTCAGGGCCAAAATAATTTCATTTTGAATGTATTTTTTAAATTAAAATACCTAAACTATATAGGCTTAAAATGTTTGCTCTACCCAGTGTAATTTTAATTAACAGCTGAGGGCCAAGATAACTTCATTCTTAATAAATCTCTGAAACTATAAAATGAGTCAATTGGAAAATAAGTAGATTAGCATGAAAAATTTCAGGATTCACACTATATTTTCAGAAATGTCTGCATTATAGATGGCATATTCTTGTAATCACGCTAGTGAAGAGACTCAGAACAACATGCATGAACTATGAATTCTCTGCTCCCTCTTCCTGAAAGAAAACTGCAATAATGGTGTGAGTTTTAACTGAAGAAGGAAAAAAAACTATGCGGAAGTGTCAGTCCTCTTACAAGTAATAGCTGGCTAGATGTTTGTGTAGTATGTTTGTTAGGAGGGCACATGCACAGTGACCATTCACAGGCAGCTGCTTTTGGAAAGGGATGTGGGAGTTTTTGAGCCAGGAACATGGAAAGTCAGACTTTAGAAGTGGAAAATAACCTACCCATTTGAAACGGGAGGAGAAATTTAGGTAAGTGGAGAGTAAGTACCCAGCTTGGAGTCTGACCAAAACACAAGGGTAAATACTGAAAAAGTATCACCCCACAAGTATGTTAAAACCTAAAGTGATCTCCTGGTGATATTGGGCATCATGTGGTTTCCGTGCATAGCACTGGAGCTGGAGCTAGAACCCAGGGCATGGCTCCTTTTCAGGGGCTTTCATCAGTTCTTGACCCTGGGTCCTCTAGACAAACGGCTTAATCTTTATAAGTGTGGCTTCTCAGTTGCTCAGGGATGTGCCCTCCTTCCCAAAACATGGAGTTGACTGGGATTATTGAAAGAAAATACCTAAAAGGATTGGCCAACTTGAGTCTATAAATCCACATCATCTTGCTATTTCATTGAAAAAATTGTCAGTAATTTGGTTGAGGCTGAGATCCACAGATCCACTTAATGTGGAAATGATTGTGGCCTCAAAAGGACCTGCACCTCTCCCCTCTGGTTTAAGTTCTTTTGGTGCCTAATTGCATTTAGTGGACCAAGCTAATGAACTTCCCAGATGACTTTAGGCCAATGGGAAGATATGCGTGCATACTCTGATCATATTCTTTCTGCTACAGAGTACAGGTGTAAGCGCTGCAGAGACTAATATTAAAAGAAATTTAGTGAATAGTTAAAAGCATACTGCTCACTACATGGAATATGACCTTGGTAAAGATGTTTTCAATTTTGGGGGCCTGCAAACAATTCTATTGCTGAGTAGTTCCCCGGCAATAATTTCAGAGCCGCAGGATTGCAAAGGAGCCCAGGGCCATGATTACACATAAACTATATTTAGATGAAATGTTATCAAATCTAAAAAGGAGATACGTTCTGAGCTCAGCCTAATTCAGCTGCACTCTGGCCTTCCCCACGGTAACCAGTTATTACATTCACAGGGTTGTTAACAATAAAGCTTTGTGTAAAACGTGTTCTTCTACTTTTTCTGGTAAACACTAAACACCCTTATTAAACCGAGGACTTTGGCTGATTTTGTTGGCACCAAATCATTAAATGTTCATGTAAATAATGCAATAACACTGATGATTAAACAAGTAGCAAGGCATATTTATGCCAAGGTAATCTTTTGCTCTTTCTAATTTAGTTATTAATATAGAATGCTTTTAATATATGGTCTCCTACTCAGATCATGACTAAATATTTTGAGATGCATTAGCGTTTTAAATATGTGCTACATTGGCCTACTGATTTATGGTTATTTCCAAGAAATTACGAATTTGCTCAAAAATGCAATGCACTTATTTAATCACTTGGTCTGGAAGATTATGTGAATTGCCGTAAGTCTTTGTGTTAAGTAGAAATATTTGTTTGTTTGGAGAGAATGAGAAAGATCTGAGCCAGGCAACAGCTCCTATGCGGTTGCTACTGAGCTGGTAGTTTCCATGGCCATTTTCAAGCTGCTACTGACATAAATGGTTTAGCTATTAGTGACATGTGACAAAGAACGAACTATCTGAGCAGGATTTCAAGGACTCCTCTTTGAAGAAATCTGATGAAAACTTAGCTATAATTCTCCATTCAATCTTCAGTGTTTACTGTTTAGAAATGTATGCCAATTAAGCAATGCTGACAGTGTAGTAAGGCACAAGGTCTTTGCCATCTTAAATTTGGGGACTTGGATGTTGAACGATTTTGCATATTGACTAACATATACCAACCAGTTAATAAATCTATTTAGTGATCTTATTGAACCTCAGATGACTGGATGTGGGTGTGTTACACTGGACTTCTCCATGCTTCACTCTTGCATGTGGGTGTGTTACACTGGACTTCTCCATGCTTCACTCTTGCATG